CTAAGTAAATGCATTGATTCTTTAAATGATCCCATGCTTCTATATAATTATTAACTCTGATTTGTCAATTACGAAACCTTTTGAAGTGGATTTAGCTTTGAAAACTTAGGATCCCATCTTTACAACCTATTTGTGAACTTGGTAAATATGTCTTTTTCCTTAAGCCAGTCTCTTAATTATGGAGATTTGGAGTTAATCATGATTTGTAAGGAAGGATATTACAATATGTTATTCCAGTATACTTGTGAATAGGTTAGATTATTCGGTTATTAAATCATTGACTCATCCTTGTGATTATATTTTACAGGTGAAAGCTTCACTAAGGGCAAAAGGAAGGAGGATACTACCGAGGATCTAGAGAGCTAGTGTGTATAGATCTTTACTTGGTTTTTGGTGTAATTAAATTGGATAAATATATATATATATATATATATTGTCAATTCTAGGATGCATATTGTTTTAGGTGCCTTTGCATGATGGATTATGTTGTTTTGACATATTTCAGCCTACGTTGTTGTATATGAGGTGGAAATTGTTGTAAGGGGATGAAATACTAGTGCAAGTATAATTATTGTGTTAATTGTATGTGTATGATTGACCAAGAGATTGTTATATATGATTATTGTCACCCTTTAATAAATTTGATAAAGGGTTTTTAATACCATATTATGTTTGAAATGTAATTGCTGATGCATGATTGATCAGTTAGGTGCATTATGGTCCAATTGAGTTGGTTTAAGTGGTCTTAGGATTATTGGCACTTAATTAGTAGTTTTAGGCACCTTTAGGTTTGTCTTGAAAGAAAAAAAGTATTTTTGTACCCAGGTGTCCAACTTTTGTATAGTAAAGAGTAAGCTAATTGTGGATATTTTAATTACTCAAATCAGATATTGGATGGTGAAATAAGGTATTCCAAAAGTTAGCCCAAAAGTGCTATCATGACATCAAAACACTATCATGACAGGGACAATGTGCCATAACATAGGGCTTGTGTGCCGCAATGTATTGCACAAGTGCCTACCTCTTTAGTATGATCATTTTAATTATATGCTCCTCTATTTCCAAGAAATTTAAATTTAGAACTAATTAACCTTCCATATTTAATGCATGCCTAATTTTCTTTTATAATCATTAAAGCATCTTCAGCTAGAATATAAGATTTAATAAGTCTTGTTTAGGTCATTAACTATATTTGAAAGATATTTTGCAATATTTTATGAATGCATTTGATGAACTTTTAGTTTTTATTACTACTTAAGAGGATCTAAATAAGATAATGAGCACAATGCATTCTATATATGTTTGATAAATGAGTTAAAGATCATCTTTGTTCCTAAACTTTTTTTAAGAGTATTAGATACCATGTACTAAAGAGTGGGGCGATATCCCCCTAAACAACTTTTTTCAAGGATAGAATTCCCCTTCTATCAGAGACTTGTCATCTATTATCTACTAACATGAAATAGTTATGAGCCTAGCATAGTGATAGCAAGGCATTCTAACCTATTTTGACCATCTGACATATTTGGCCTAGAAGTAATAGTGACAATGATAGGAATCAGGCTTGATTTTTGCAACAAAATGGGTCAAAATGCCTTGTTGCTATACATGAGCCCCACAAATATTTCATATTAGTAGATAACAAAGAAGATGATGGGTTTCTAAAGAAAGGGCAATTTTGCTTCTGAAAAAAATTATTTATAAGGGATATTATCCTCCCTTCAATATAAGGTGCCTAATGCTTCTAAAAAAATATTTAGGGGGAAATAATCTTTTTTTGATACAATTATTCCTTACTTATAGGCCAAGCCAAATTGGACCACATCGATAACAAAGCTCTCCTAATGAGTATTTAACACAATTCAGTACACAAAATTTGAGTTCAAGACTACTAATTAAGCTAGTACAACCCCTTACTAATTGAACTACCTGCTCATTAGTGGAAAAATGGTCTTTAACCATTTGATAAATTCTAGAGTGATACATTGCCTTATTCATTTCTTATGAATTTTATTTTAAAAAAATTGTTATTCTTAAATGTTTTTTACAGGGTGTCTAAAATTTATGATCTATAGACAATACAACTTCCTTTAAAATTTTATATTGTAGGATTAAGGATCATTTTTTCCCTAAACTATTTCCTCAAGGTTTGCAGGTACCCTAAACTCAAATGTAGGTCATCTTTATCCCTAAATGTTTGAAATTCACACTACAACACATTTTTTACCTTTAGCAATACTTTGGTTTGCAACAATTCTAAAGATATTGCCTACTATATGAATAAGTAATAATTTTCATGTGCTGCCATTGATCCTCACTTTAAGCAACAATTATTTGGCAATAACTAAAAACTAGACTCTAAAGTGGAAAAATTGTTGCAATAAAATTCTAAAATAGACAATATAAAAATTATTGCCTATATAAAACTTCTTTTATTGCAACATTTAAAAACGGTCCCTTATTTTAATAGATAACAAAAAAAAAACATTGCCTTTAAATGTTGCTTTTCACATCAATTAAGAAATGTTGCCTATTGTTTACCTATATAAAAAAAAATATTTACTTTTATCTTTTTATCCTAACTAAGCTGATCAGCTCAGTGGTATTAATATTGCTCACTTCTTCGCTTTGTAAGAGAGATTGTGGGATTGAACCCTAGGGGTGCACATTATGCTTGGGAATTTAATCATTTGGAAGGCTATACTACTAACACACCCTATCCTGTGTAAATTGGGCTCAAAAGGGTCTTACTCTCTACCCTACCGAGACACCTAGGGGTAAGAAGAGGGAGGGCGAACAGAGGAGAGATGTAATTTTCTCTCATTATGCTTAGCTAAGTAAAAAAAACAGGAAGGAAAGAAAATTTATTAATTTTATACAGACAATAATAACCTTATTATTTATAAAAATATTTGTATAATAAAATTTAATATTTTAACATATTATATATATAATAATTTTTATCATATATTATTGATTGAATAAAAGAATATCCAATTTAAAATTTTATTAATTAAGTTATTAAATATATAATGATTTAATAAATATAAGGTATTTAATTGAAAATTAACTTGAAAATCTAGAATTAATATTTGTCTAATTAGTCTAAAAATTAAATATGCTACTTCTTCAACAAAAGTTCATAATTAAAATGTAATTACACCCCAAATATCATGATAAAGTAGAAGGAAGCACGAGGTCGTAATAAAAAAAATTAGTGGGTAAATTTGAAAATGAAATTTTCTCTCCAACATCTCCCCATATTTGGAGAGAAAAGTTGGAGATAAAAATAATTGAGTTTTACATGTTATTTTTCTTCTAACGTTTTCTTCTCCACTTTTCTTTCTATAGCCAAGCAAGAGAAACTGTTGTTTTCTCCCCATTTTTCTCTGCCTCACTTTTCTCTCCTATCAAACATAGCATAAGGCAATAGTTTTTGGCTAAGTGTTGCTTAAAGTTTAGAAAACTATTGCCTTACCTAATAGATAACACGGAAATATGCAATAGTTAAAAAATGTTGCCTAAAGTCAAAAGCAACAATTTTAAACTATTGTTATAAAGTAAAAATGTTGTAGTGTCGCTACCTCATCACCGTGACGTTGATCCATTTAATGGCCATGATGTGGATCCCATCATTTGTATTTTTTTCAATATTTTTATAAGAGTTAAGGGTCATTTTTGCCCTTGAACTTTTTCCTTAAGTTTTACAAGTACCTAAACTTTATTTTAGATTATTTTTGTTCCTGAACATTTGAAATCCGTTGCCTCAATTTTGGAAATAGAGGAGAGAGAACATGTGGGGGAAGAGAGAAGGAAGAGAAAGAAAATTGGGACCCACATAAAATATTTTATGGGGTTAAAGCGCATTTTCTCCATGAACTTTTTTTCAAAAAACACTGAACACTCTATGCTAATAAGTAGAGCTTTTTTTCCCTTAAACCATTTTCCAAGTGAGCAAAAATCTCCCTCTTTTAATGATCCATTAACATTGCCATTTTTCTATTGACATGGCATGTCCTTTGGTATTCCTAAACTCTTTTCCTAAAAGTGTTGGACACCCTGAAATTTTATTAAAATAAAATTTAATAAATATTTTTAATATATATATATATATATATAATCCGCACTTCAATTGATAGGGGGGGTATTAAGATTATATATCTATGTTGATTACTATATTTAGTGATTCATTTTCTTGTCATGTTGAGGTATTCTACATATAAGCAAACATCCTTAAGAGGTCTTGAACATATCCTTCAGGTAGATATATCAAAAATATCCTGTCCTGGTCACATATGAATTAAAACATAATCACAGTCATAACTCATGAGCTGCAAAACTTGTTCTAACCTCAACGTAGTAGACATTATACTAATAGGAAAGACATAGGAAAAGAATTATATATAGATTCAAGTACAAAAGAAGAAACAGATTAGGTGCAATTTAGTAAAGGAAAATGCAATTTTTGATCCTTATACACATTTTTTGGTGCTTCAAGTCTCTCAAATTTCATATGTATATGTAACATTAGTCCTTTTCGCCATTGACGGAGTTAAATCTACTCACACATACATAACTCTCTTTAATTTTGTTGTTTTGTTGTCGAGTCTGTAAAATTATGATAAGTTAGACATTTTATATGCCATAATTGTACGCCTTTTTGTTTTGAAACTTCATCCACAACGTGTTTTTAAGAATTTTGATTGAATGTTTTGCTTACTTTTTATTTTGTCTTGTACTCTTTTTATACAACACAAAAAATAACAAAATGTATGCATATGTTAGCCATCGCTAAGTCTTTATGATCATACTTAATAATATAAAAACTAACATTACAAGTAAATAAAATTTAAAAAACTTGAAACAACGAAAAAAGAGGATAAAAGCTAATACTAAAACACATTAAAAGTATAGAAAACAATAGTTATATTTTTCCTTCAGTAAATAATATCATATTTTCTCAGGAGAAGGGACCAAAAAAATTACAATGACAAAATCAATATCTCAATCAAAGTAAAAGTATAAACTTCATAGCAAAAGATACATACTATTCATATAATACATCATGTTCACCTTTTGTCATTAAAAGGGCAAAGAATCATCCTTCTTCGATTAGTGATCCTTAAAAAGTGGTAAATAAATTCAATATTGCATTTCACATAATGCTCATTATATTTCTTTTTTTTTTCCCCTTTCATTTTCGAACTTGTATCTTTCCTACATCTTTCCCATGGTGAATCATGATCACACACATTGAGCGTCCATTTTTGACAGGGTATCTGCCTCAGCATTTTTCATTGCTTTTCTGCATCAACTGGTGGTTGTCCCAATCAGATTAAGTTACAATTGTGGGAATTTGACCTCGGTTCACAAAATCAATCTTATTCAACCGCAAGCAGCACAAGACATGCTCTGGTAGTTCCTCTGGCTTTTGTGCCTGTCAAAGCATATAAATAAAAAGGCCGTAAAAATCAATATTTACAGTATCTATTACCCCACCACCACCACCACATGGCAGTCTTTTCTTTTTTGACATGAACTAGAATTATTCTTTGATAGAAATTTGGTTGTATGGTATACCAAGTCTCACATTAACTAATATGAGATGTTCAATAGAATATTTAAATGGGTTGGTCCTCTCACCTCAACAGTTAGCTTTTAAGGTAAGGTTCCCGATCTCATTTAAGCATCTATCAATTGATATTAGAACCTGATTGTCGTTGGTTCCAAAAAGAGTTACTCATGAGGGGTTCTAACCAGCAAGAATAAAAAAAATTTCAACCAGGTTTCCTCCACATAAAGGTTGAAAATCAAACTCCCATCCATATTCTTGAGGAATGAGTTTCTCTACCACTCACGTCAACCTAAACTGTTATATCAGTCTTTTATTACCCCTTTTATCTTTGGGGAGAATGATAGTAACCCTGGGTAATTTGGAAATTCCCATATTTGCAACTATTTGGATGATATTTGTCACTAATTTTTCTTCAAAATGTTCTCGGATCTCATTCTTCTTATCTATTTTTAGCACAAAACCTGTTATTTATGTATGTACGTATATACACATACGTACGTTCATACGTACGTACAAACATACATACATAAGCTGTCAACTTTTCATTGATTGGTTTTCCCTAAGAATTACATTCTCAGTTAGCCTTCCTGCTGATTCAATTTGGCAATGAGAACAGAATGTCGAAAAATGATTTCCAGGTAATCTTCATTCATTCACTTAGCTCTAAAAATATGAGATACTAATGATTGGCAGCTGGGGAAAACAGAGAAGGATGACTAAAGAACATGCTGTCCTACTGATTATTATTAATATTTAATGCTAGCATTTGTATTAAATTATAAATGGCAATAACTTCATCAGCACCATAAAGGGAAAAATGGCTTCATCAATTTGATGTCAGAAGTTTTGAACTTAAAAGTGATCAGAGAATACTGTACCTGGGTGGTTAAGCCTACATTAAGCATTCCATTATGTACACGATCTCTCAATGAATCAAGCCCTTTCCTAGATATGTAGCTAAAGCGATGAATATCCAGATCAATCTCAAAATAGTTAGGTCCCTGCAATTAATATGATAGAATCATAATCTATTAAAACTAGTTGGTAGAAAGCAAGGTACTAAAGACCAGATTAGTCATTGAATAGCATATTGGCTGGTTTAACGGTTACTTAAAATCATGTTAAACCAGTCATAAACCTGTTATTTTATTAACTGGTTTAACAGTTCAATCGGACCCGGATTTTTATATAATGGTAGAAATTGAAAAATTTGTACAGTGACCACATGAGCATGATCTTATAATCAGATAAGAGCTTAGATAAACAACACTTTGCTGTCTAAACAAGACACTTTGTTAAACAGCTCAACAAAATTTTTTTAACATGCATTCACACGTAAATCTACTCAACTCAGATCTTCTACATTCACAAAAACAAATTTATATAATGCATTTAAAGAGAAATAGAAAGAAAAGAGAATGTAGATGCAAAAATGGGATGGGGACCCTATATAAAATTATATTCTAATGTATCACTCCCTCTTCATGAAATGGAACAACAGCAAAGTAATGAAGGAACAAACATATGGAGAAGCAAAAACCGACATCCGTTGGGTCACCACCATTAACACAACAATAAAGCATTTGTAACCGGCCTTTTAATTCCCTTTGCTCCATTTCATACTTAGACCAGTCTAAATAGCTTAGTATCTTTGTGTATTGCATCTCAATTTGAAAAGAATAAACAAGAGTTTGTTTCCCATTCAGTTTTTGTGCCACTTCAAGTATATGAACATGGAGGGATCTACTTTGAAATTCGTTCTGGTTGTTCAATAAATATACCATTGAGGTGGATGCACAAATCATAGGTCATTTTATTATATCAAAGCATTTTGACATGATAACCAAGTCGTATACAAAAAACATAGAAGGCCTGATGAGTTGAATCGAAGTGGAATGAATATTATGCTAAGTACTAATATTTCTCAATTCTGACAGTCTTTCATCTGAGAACTAGACAAGAATTGTATAAGAAGACATTGTATATACCTTAAAGAAATTGTGTTGAGGGCGTGAAAGCACTGGCTTGCCATTGTAGGCATTTATAAGCTTCTTCTCTGTTGAACTCAATTGAAGGTCCTCTGGATTAACCACCTCAGCCAAAATTTTCAGTCTTTCCCTATAGGGAACCTCAATTTCATTTTTAAACCCTTTCATCTTCTCCATCTCACCATCCACTAACCTCTGATACAACCAATAGTGTTTTTTAACTAAACAGATACTCAAGAAGAAGAAAAATTTATATTTCAGTTTCAAAAGGCTAAGGAGGGCGCTCTCGCACTTAGAAAGTGTCAGCTTAAAGATTTAAAAGTTGTATCAAGTAGCCATGGATGAGAGAAGACATACCTTGATACTGTCCTGAAAGTGAAAAGAGATCTCTTTGTCAAAATTATCAGAAACTTTGAAATATAATACAAGGCTGATACCTTCGCCATCTCCATCACCAAGGAATATGGAAGCAGAGTATGTTGGCAACTGATACAAAACCACAAATTATGTTATAAGACATTCTTTTACTTTATTTTCTTAACAGAAAAAACAACATCCATAGGAAGATAGACTTCATCAAAGGACAGGGTATAGTTTATTTCAGTTTGAAAATCAAACCTGTATATTAACAATAAGAAGTGAGGGTACTTTCTCATGTCCTTTGACAGATGGAAGTTCAAGATGCTGAGCAATGTGATTGATCTTCTTTGGGCATACAAACAAATCCACACCTATTGGAACATAAGCACTACAGTTTGGAGCTGGACACTTTTGCTTGTCACTGCAAAATTAATAGCATATTAAGTCCAAGCTTCTACGGAGACAAAATAGTTAGAAAAACAAAATACTAGATATGGTAGTCATAAACATTTAAGTAAAATTTGACAGAAAATTTTATGACATGCCTGAAAAAATTCTTCCCCCGGAGCCTAAATATGGAGGGTGAGATCATAGACCAGGATCCAGGCAATGGCTTCTCTAGAGATGAACACTGAATTTGAAGCCCTGCTCTGGGATGGTAAAGTAATCTCTCAGAAGCACCTGTCATCCATTCATTTAATATCATAAAAGCTGAGTAATGTATATGTGTTTGAAAAATTTATCTAAAATCAGTAATTGGCAACCAAGAAACCTTTATTTTCTTCTGCAAAAATTTTATGTACTTACGTAATCCAGTCTTTTCATTTCCATCAACGGATTTTCTTGTGACAGAAACCATGATAACTGTTGATTGTGTTATTTGTGATGTCTGAGGACTCGCTGCTGCTGGGGAATGATTTATGTCATTAAAATTGACTGAAGGAATCAGAACAGGCAAGCAAGCCTTTGAGTTCTTTTCTTGAATTTTCTCTCCATTCTTATAGTTACCCCCATCTATTTTGAGGTAACTCTCATAGAAACCTTCATATGTATTACACCCTGAGTTTCCAAAGCATGATGCACTTTCATATTGGAGTAGCTGAGTATTTGGGACACTCCCCAAAGTATTTCCCGCAAAAGGAAAACAATCTGCTGGCCGCAGAAGTTGAATCAGAAAGATGGCATTGGCAGGAACATATCAAAGTCACAGACGAAAAATAAATAAGGGACAGATACACTACCTACCTCCATGCACACTGATGAAGTCATCATCTGAATCAGATTCTATCATACTTACTGAGTCATACCATGCTTCCTCTTGGCACATTCCTAAAAAACATGCATTGCTCAACATGACTACAAGCTTTGTCTCTATCAGATAACATATATCCCCAAGTCATTGGCATCCAAGAATATGAGAGAGAGAGAGAGAGAGAGGATACCATTTCCATCAATTTGACTATGACTGTGATATTGTAGCTGGGTGAGATGAAATGTCATGTTGGAAACCTCAGACCTACAACCCTTGTCAAAGTCCAAGAGGACAAAGTCACTGAGAGAAAAATCACCAACATGATTTCCAGCATTGCTGAGTCTTTTCAAAGACATATCAGCAACTCCAGTGGGTATGTTTCCATGGACATTGCCATGTTTGTGCTTGTTTCTCCTATGAGCTTTGCTCTTCCTTTTTGATTTCAAGGCACAGCCCCCCATTGAAATTACCTTTTTCACAACCGTTAACATCCAATTTTTTTTCATGTAGTGTCAACTCTATTGAAATATCAGGCACGGTGTCTTTAGTCTCCCAGAGAAGCAAGGACCTACCAACCATGTCAAGTTGCCAGCAATGGAATTTTCATCAAGAAAAGGAAATGCTGAAGAATTGACCAAAACAAAGTTCAATGGCAGAATTCCAAATCTTTCGTTTTTTATGACTATTTCCCCATGCAATTAGGTAATGATTCAAAAAGTAGATTAACACAATTGATCCACTATCAGCTGCCCTTAGACTACCTGGCCTTAAGTCAACATACAGGTGGAAGAAACGAACAGTTAAAAGAAATTCTGGTTCATCCTAGGCTGCTGGAAAATCAACTTTCATGAGCTCTTTCCCCAGATTTCATATGAAACATTACCCACGAACTCTCTCTCTCTCTCTCTCTCTATATATATATATATATATATTTCCCTATTTCCCTAATAGAGCACGTACCTTTAACTGGAAGAAGCACATTTCAGAGAGAAGCATCGTATATTGATCCAAGATCAATACCCGATGGCATACAATAATCTTCTCTTGAGTATTTACATCGAGGCCGTTTATGTACACCACCAACTATGGAGAAACCCTGAACGCAGTAATGAATGAATAAAAATCAAGTAATAAGTTCTTTTAAAGGGGAAAAATATTGGCACATTTTAATAAAAACCTGTCCGAGAATTCTGGGTTGAACGGCGTCAACATGTAGGCCCAACTTCAATGATGAATCATAGCAGCAATAGAAAAAATAAATAAATAAAATAAATGGATACTATTCATTTCATACATGTTCGGCTGGCAGAGAATCCTTGTTTTGAACAGTGAAAAATCAAACATATCAAAAATGGAGAACATGATGCTGTTGAAGATTCCTTAATATAGACACATGAAATACTTAACAGAAGTGGGCCATTAATGCTTGATAAATAGGAACACCTTACAAGCACGATGAGCATCTCATATGAAATTAAAATCGACTGAGAGTATAAAATAATGAGACGCCTTTAAAGGCATATCGTCAAATACAACACATGCATGATGAAGACTAGAACCAAAAGAAAAAAAAATAAGCTAAAGCGTCTTTCTGATTCATGATGAACAGAGATGTTGGGAGCGAGCGAGAGAGAGAGAGAGAACCTGAGGGAAAGTTTCAGCATGAATGAGGAACCTCGTTCCCAGAAAGGAACTCGGATTCCTTGCGTATATGAGTTGCTCTGTTCTGGCCTATGTGGTTTTGAAGGGGAAAATCGAGAGAAATATAGAAGAAGAACAGAAAAAAGTTCTGGTTCAAATCGGATAAAGATAGAGACAGAAAAAGATTACAAAAGTTCACCAAACTCCGTTGTTTTCGGATCCTGCATGGTTGTCACTCTTCTTCAATTCTCTCCAATTCAATTTCAATGCCTCTGTCTGTCTGTCTGTCCATCTCTTCCTCTGTTTTTGGATGCTCACGAGAAATTACGCTTTGTTTTTTCTTTATAAGGGGAAAAAAAAAAAAAAAAGCAGGAGGAAGAAGAAGATTTTGTTAATGTGTTGACTGTTCACTTTTTCCCTTTCATTTCGCCGGCAAAATGATACTACCATGAGCTGCTCGTCCACGTGGCATCATGTCAGAGCTTCCATGTGTTCTGAAACACGTGGGAATTAGATGCCACGTGTTCGTGTACGACGACCAGATTTTAATGCAAAGCCTGATCACTTTTGTTTACCCCAATAAACCAACACCTAACATAAGTTCATTTATTAATTACTGTTATTAAAGGCACTTAAATCCGGACAATGCTTCACGCTTGGACCATAATTTTACCCAAGAATGTCTCAATATTTACATATAAATAAAATGTTTTTAATGAAATATCATGTACCAATAAAATTTTGTTATTAATTGAAAACACATAAAATTATAATAAATTTAATTTTATTTTTAATAATATGATAATTAATATTATGATAGTAGGTAATAAAACATATAACTAATATTTTCTTCCCTTCTCATAACCGAGACAAAAATATTTAATTACTGAAAAATATAGTTAAATTAAATATATGATCGATTGTAATTAAATTAAATATATCAACCAAGTGTGATGACTTGTGGATCACATTGTTAAATGTTAATCTTTCATCTTATCTTATTTAAGAACAATTGAGTGGCTTTCACTATATTTCTTTTCAAAAAAATTAATTATTCAATATTAATAATTTTTGACTCAATTATAACTTAATTACTAAGTTTTAATTCATTATAACTTAATTAGTAAAGTTTTAACTTTATTATAACTCAATTCTTAAATAATTCGCTACAACACAATTCTTATATTTTTAAGTATGTAAAATATTTGCCCTTGTATCTTGAAAAAAATTCTAAGAATTAAAATTACATTGACATTTAGGACCTTATTTAAAATTACTAAAAATTTTAACTTCATAAAGATTATTAAGATTTAATATTTGCAATTTTATTTTCTAAAATATTTTACTAATGTTTTAAATAATTAAAACTATAAAAATTAAATTATATTGAATTAAAATTTTTAATTAAGTTAAAATTTTATGGATTGAGTTATAACTCAATTAAAATTATGAGAACCAAGTAATTAATTTTTTTTAAATTAATTTTAGCGTAAGGCATATATTATCTGGGGAGGAGGAGAAGAGAATGATAACAGGAGCAAGAAGAAGAAGCTTGAAACGATAGTGAGGCAACTGATCGGCAATAGCTTCGGCTTGCTGACACGTGTCCCCGAGGTGAGCACCTGACCACTACTACTGATTACGACTTTTCCCAAATATCAGGTTTTTTTGATTAAAAATAATAATTTAGCCACTTGTATCTACCTCATTTTATTTATATTTTGAATCAGCTAAATTAAAAACATTACTCCTGAAAAAAATAGAAAATCGCACACAAGTATTGCTGAAACATGTTATGTTGGTTTTTTGGAAACACATACAGCAGAATAAAATTTAAAAAAAAAAAATCTAAGATTCCAAATAGATTCATTGATTTTGCTTAAATCGAATTAGAGAGATGAAACTTACCAAATTGATTGAGGGATCCAATCTTCATTTAGCAGCTAAGAACATATGTGTTGTTCATCGAACAAACACCCGTATCCACACAAACAGAACTACGAACACAAATAGCACTGCTTTTCTCTTATGTTTTTCTTGGTTTTTCACTATTTCATTATTTCAAGAATTCTAGCTTCCAAGATGAGCTCTTAGGTCTCATTGAAGAGTAAATTGTTTGAAAAATTATGTAAAGCATATATACGTTAATTTTCATTCACCAATATCTTTAATAATATTTTATAATTTTATTTAAAATATTCATTTTAAATTATGAACTCTTCTAAAGATATCATATTTCAAAATAAATCTTCTAAATATTTTACTTCATAAATTAAACTTAATATTATTATTGTCAATAATGATAATAATATATTATTTTACTATAAATAATATTATATTTTTCTAATTCAAATTAGAACATCTTTTAATATGCTCTATTTAAAAAAAAAATAGACAACTTTTTAAATTAAATGAGGACATTTTATATTTATTGATAGATTCAATAAATTTGGATATTTTTGTAATGACCTTCGTCATTAATTTCAATTAATTTCACTAACTAATAATCCTTAATTATAAGGATCAACTATGGCATTAAAGTTTTATAGTATTAATAATAAGTTCAACCTTAAAACTGGGATTCCAAAAATATTTGAAAAGATAAATATAATATTTTTGAGAAATCAGGGTATCTGAAAACATGTGAAAACATGAAATACACTACTTAGCATTAAGAATGGAATAAAAAGAGGTAGAACAATCATTTAGGAAAATTGCACTAGTTCATTTGCCCTCGTGATATGAAGCTAAGAGTGCCTTCGTTATGGCCAACCACGAATCCACACACACACTACGGCTTATGTCATGGTCTACAACTCTACTTGTCGCAGCCCACACGCACACACCCACTCGCCACGACCACTTTAGTTGTTTACCACAACAAATCCTATTATTAGCATAATGAACAGCATGCATAAATTAACTTCAAACTCGTATAATTAATCGTTCAAACCTCCAATTAGGGCTATCCAAGCATTTACACAGATAATTGAAATGTCTAACTACTTGTGCTACTTATTACTTAATTCGGTGCCAAAAGAGTATCATGAAACACTAAATGCCAGTATGAGCATTTAAGCTCCATGCACAAACACAAGTGTCTCCCTTTTATTATCAACTTGAAACTTTGACTCAAAAGTAATAACCATCATGCATGACAAATATTTCTTTAAACATATCAAAGTATAATCATAGGTCAACCATAAACATCCACACATTTGCATCATAGGCCTTTTCTCAAAATATAGGCCACCCAACAAAATCTCCAGGTCTACAAATGGGGCACACATGCAATGATCTATAATTCACCATATACAAGTAAGCATGATTAACTCATGATGTTGGCAAAAATATGATATGATTCATTACACAATGTAAGCGACTAGAAATTACAATACTATGTTCTAGCACTTGACCTCAGAAGCTTTCCCTTTGTCATTTGCCTTATCGTCACCTGAAAAAATTGAGTACTGGGAGTGAGATTAAACAATCTTAATAACTAAGAACTTAATGAAATCATATTAAAGTGTGGTAATCATATTCATAAAGGCAATGCATAACATATAGGGAGAATGAGAAAGAAGCTCCAAAAGAATTAATTAATTTAAGTTAGGTTTCAAGTGCCAAACTCCAAAAATTTACAACTTAATCTCTCAATTTTATAACTGCATTGTGATAACTTTGTAATATATATTCCAAATTTAACATGGTTGAATAATAATAAAAATTTATTTTTCCTATTAAAATTTAGGGTACAGGTTGCAAATTTATCACAAAAGAGTTGTAACATTGAGAAATTAAGCTGCAAATTCCTAAAATTTAATGCTTAAGACCTAACTTAAATTCCTAAAAGGATGTAAGCGGGTGGGTATGGGCTACTCGTGGCCGTACCTGTTACCTACTTGTTTATGGGTAAATAAATGGCCACCCACTCATACTCGCATATAACCGTTTGCACCAGTTTAAAAACGAGTGCAAAAAAGTATGGGTGGGTACAAGCGAGTCTGAGCCACCCATTTACTTGCAGCACCCACTTTTTAAAAAAATAGTCAAAACATATGATTTTCAATCGAATGTCCAATCCAATATATCATTCAAATGTACTAAAAGGGAACCTATTTCAGGTATTTCACAAATTCAAAAATCACTCATCACTCATCAGAACTTCAAGATCATGGCAAAATCATGAAAAAAAAATAAAAAGTAGGTCTTCACAAAATCACAATGGTGCACAAATCCACTAAACGCCATCATTTACAAATATTCTTTATTTATAATCAAAGATTGTCTAAGCAAAATGTGAAAGATAATGAGAGGAAGCTGGAGTTAAAGTCATTGCACTAATTGATTTAAAGTCTTGATGAAGTTAAAGCTAAAGGTCAACAAGGTTGATGAACAACGAAGCTAAAAGCTCTCTCATGACTTAGGCAAATAAGGGAGAAGTTAAAGAACAAGGCGAAGTGTGACTGGCGACTACAAATGGCAACACGAACAAGTAGACCTCTCTCGTGACTATGACTCAAGTCAACAAGGGAGAAGTTAAAGAACAGGGTGAAGCGCATCATGTGAGTGGCAACTGGCAACTGCAAATGGCGACATGAATAAGTGAAGCTCTCTCATGATCATGACTTAGGCAAACAAGGCAAAGTGCGAAGTGCAACTGGCGAGTGGTGACTGTGAATGAGTAAAGCTCTCTCGTGACTCAGGCAAATAAGGGAGAAGTTGAAGAACAAGGCGAAGCAGTGAAAGGTGAAGTGCGACTGTAAAGTGAAAACAACAGAACCAGTAGAGTCAATCAAGACTTAAGGCACGCACTCACCACTCAGTCACTCATGCGATGCAGAATTGCAGATCTAGATCGCACGCAAAGGCAAGTCGACAATGGGTGTTTTTATTTTTTTGAACTTTAAATTGAAGCCAAGACTTGGGCGAAGTGGGCACGCAGAATGCACGGGCCTGGGCTTTTGCTTTTATATTTTTGACCGTGGGCTAGTGTTTTCTTTTTTTTTTAATATAAATTCTAGGTTGGAAAGTGGAGACTAGTGTGGGGTTTTCAGGAGACTAAAAAAATAAAGATACGTAGTATAAATGGGCAGGCACAGTGGCCTTACCCATTACCCATCTGTTTATTCATATATAGGTAAATATCTGCCCATACCCATTTTTCTTCCTAATTGAATGGATATGGGTTGACCCGTTTTTGAACGGGTCAAGCGAGTATAAGTGAGTTTGCGGATCAATGGGTAAAATGCACACCCCTACTTGAATTAATTGGTCCTTTTGATACCTCTCTATCATTCTACTTAACATATATCTCAATTCATTACATAATC